TCCACCATGTGCAAGGCAAATGCCCTGCCCGCTTTACTACTGCTCCAGACCCAAATAACCCTTTTTCACTTTAACTTCTTTTATTTTCTTTATAGGGACCCCTGCCCCAGCAAATATTAAAGTCCCATGGCACTGATAGACCCACTGTCTGGAATTCCCAGAGAAGGGAAAAGTTTTTTAATATATTTTTTCTTCCTAAAGGGTCCAATCTCTTAAGAAACTATGACAAAACTACCATATAAAACTTGGAGAGGTTATTCAAAAATCAAGCAATGACATGTGATAATTCAGTTCTCAGACCATGAAGCAATTCAGGGCTGTGGACCACCAGGACTACACAGAGAGTGCTCAGGAGTCCAGATTGCACCCAAGGCTCAACCTCGGGAACTCCACCCTTATCTCTCAGCCCTTAATTTCTTTTTTAGGTAACAAAATATTTGCTTTTAAGTAAAAAAAAAACAAAGAGATTCTAAAGTACAGACAGAAGGCTCACTACATGAATTACTCCAGTGAAAAAACTCCACATACCACTGTCCAAAAAAGAGGAGGGGAAAGTTAGCATTTATCAGACAGACACCAGTTGTATAAAACAAGTGCCATATTTTGATCATTTTAAATTATCGCCTTGAGACGCAGATACTATCCTCATTTTTCTAGGGCAGGGCAGAGAATGTCCAGCCTGGAGAATCCTGTGACCTGACTCTGGTATGCGAGACAGACAGGGATGTTTCTTGCAAGGTTCCCATAGCCCATCTGCCCAAATCGTATGGCCTGATGAATTATTCTACAAATATCCAAATGGTCCTTGGGGGGAAAAAAGGTCCCCATCAAGCCCATCCCCATTCTAAAGGGTAGGTTATAGTCACAAAGCTAGAACAGTCAAATGCTAAGTTTGGCCTGGATCATATCTTAAAAATAAATCAAGAATTATAAAGACTTTTTTTTCTTTTATAACTCGAACCCCAGAGCCAACCCAAGTGATGGAAATAACCCTACTTTCTGTGATCCCTGGACAAGAAGGGCCTAGAAGACAGCTCTGTGACTTCAAAAATGCTTGCTTTGTTGGGGGGCTGGAGCAATAGCACAGCGGGGAGGGTGTTTGCCTTGCACGTGGCCGACCCGGGCTCGATTCCCAGCATCCCATATGGTCTCCTGAGCACCGCCAGGAATAATTCCTGAGTGCAGAGCCAGGAGTAAGTAACCCCTGTGCATTGTCAGGTGTGACCCAAAAAAAGAAAGAAAAAAAAAATGCTTGCTGTGCAAGCACAGGCAACAGTTCAAACCCAGAACCACCCACAAGGGCTAAAGTTGATCCTGACAGCTCTGCTATTTGTGATCCACAAGAAAGGACCTGAAGGATGGCTCAGTGGCTCCCCCAAGCAAGTGAGAGAACTCCCAGGGGCATGCATTTGCTAAAAAAAAATTCTAATAGACCCACGTCTGGAATCTCCGGAGAAGGGAAAATGTTTTTGATATTTTTCCCCCTCGCACTAAAGGGGGAAACTATGACAAAACTACCATACGAAACTTGAAGCAGTTATTCGAAAATCAAAGGATGACATACACAAAATGGAGCTGAAGAGATACTACTGCAGGTAGGGTAGTTGCCTAGCATGTGGCTTATCCGGGTTCAATCCCTGGCACCCCATATGGTCCCCCAAGTGCCACAGAAGTGATCCCAAAGCACCAAACAAAAACAAATGATATACATAAATACAAACTGCAATTATTGACTTCTGATGCCCAAATATTTTCTTGAGAACCTACATAAGGCACAAACAGAGACACAGTATAGGGGGAAGGTGTTTCCCTTGCACACAACCTACCCAATTTGATTCCTGGCACCACAAATGGTCCCCCAGTATCACCAGGAGTGATGAATAGCCCTTGAGCACTGCCCAGGGTGGCCCACAAAACCAAATTAATAATTAGTATAACTGCATGACTTAAGCAAATTGTGATCAAGCTATCAACACAACTCAATTCTTCAATAATTAGATTTTCCCTCTTATCATCATCTGTACATACAAATGTTCAGATACCTAGTTCTCTAAGAGACCTAAGGAAAGAAAAAGAAGGTTCTCAGTGACAATACAACAGGGAGGGCAAATGCTTTGCATGCACCTGAGTCCCAGGCATCCCACAGGGTTCCCCCAAGCACTATCAGGAGTAATTTTTGAGTACAGAGCCAGGAGTAACTCCTGAGCATCACTGGGTACGCCCCCCACCACCCCCAGAAAAAAAAGAGAGAGGGAGAGAGGAAGAGATAGAGAACCAGGGTTTATCTCCTACAACATGAAAAAAAATTTTTTTTCAGTTTAGAAAAAGAATATGAGTAAAGAGACTTGTAACCAGGGCTGGAAAGACAGATTTAGGTAAAATGTTATAGCAACTGTGTCTTTCAGAACTTGATTCTAAAATACAAAAGCTAATCAGATGCATTTTCTGTATTGCTTGTTTTTGTTTTTTGGTTTGGGGCCACACCTGGTGATGCTCAGCGGTTACTCCTGGCTCTGCACTCAGGAGACCATATGGGATGCTAGAGATTGAACCCAGCTGCAAGCGAGGCAAAAGCCCTTATCCGCGATTCTATCTCATCACTCCAGCCCCTCTCTATTGTTTACATATTCAAAACCTGGTGGCCATCTTAGATTTATTTTTAATTGCACATTTTTTCCAGACCTTACTCCAGGCAAGCCAACTAATCAGTTACAATATAAGTGGTTTTCCACGCTGAAGAGTTGGATGTAACTTACCAGGCAATGGTCCCGATTTTTTTTTAAATATGAGAGAAATAAAATAATAAAGGGTACTAGGTGAATCTCAGGAAAGTATACCTGAGTATTCTTTCTTATTCTTGCTACAATTGTGTAAACCTGAAATTATTTCCAAATACGAAGTTTTTTTTTTTGAGATGATGTGACCTGCCACTAACTGCTTGGTTTTCAAGCAAGACACACTCGGGGTCTGAGGACTTCTTCCCAGCTTTTTCAAGGGGGTCACTCCAGGTGGTAATCAAATTGAACCCACCCCTTCAGCTGCCTCTCTAGCCCACAATTCTGAATTATACAGCAACAATTATAATTCTGAATTATACAGCAATTATACACATAAAAATAAGCTTCTAAGGAAAAATTTACTGATTCGTGAGAAAATACACACCATTTCCCACCAATTATTGATGACTTCTGTATAAATGTCCTAACTACAGTGCCAAGGAATGAAATGTATCCAAAGTAACTGCATTGCAACCAGTTAGAAGAAGTGGGAAGTCGGTGCAGAGCGACAGCACAGCCAGGAGGGCGAGTGCCTTGCAGGTGGTCGACCTGGGTTCACAACCTATATGGTCTCCCCTGCATCGCCTGGAGTGAGTCCTCAGAACTAGGAGTAATCCCTAAGCACTGCCGGAAACCAAATTTTTTTAAAGGGAGGGAGGAGAAAAGCATAGGAGACTCCATAGTTGGACGAAAAGTGTTTCAAAATGTGAAGATGTGGTACAGGTCTGCTGCAAAATGCAGCAAATCTACAACCGAGGATGGTTCTCTGCTCTGCAGTAAGATATAAACAAAGTGTTAAGAGAAAAGCACTGATTTATATTGTACAACAATTCTGATGAAGATCTGGTTGTGACGGTTTTATTAAATAAAATGGGTTTTTTTTTTACTAAAGCTCAATCTACAACAGCATGTTTGAATCATCTTCTGAAAGCAAAGCAGAGATAGCCTGCACAAACGTTGCAATCTTTTCTGATACAATGTTACTAGTCTTCAGCCAGCCCAACACAAAATTTTACTTCGAGCGTTCTCCCCACACGCACCCCCCCCCCCCGCCCAAGCTCTCTTAACACCTAAGGAGGCATCACAAGCAATGCTTGACAAAGTTCACCAAAATTGTGCAAACAAACCGCTAAAATAAAAAAGGTTTCGGGGAATAGTGAACCTTTAAAGGTTCATCACCTTTCCGAGGAACCACCCACTTTTAAATCCCCGAATGGAACGATCCTCCTCGATCCAATTAGTCCTTTGGAGGGGGGGTGGAGGAAGGGAGGAAGGGAGGGAGGAAGGAAGGGAAAGACACTCACGTCCAGCAGACCCCAACCCCAGAAAACAGTCCACACCAATGCCAAGATGCTGCGCACATTTCCAGGGATTTCCAGAACCCTCTCCCAGCCATCCTCCCCACCCCCTCATCCCGGCCTCGCGCGTCTCCTCGAGGGCCTCCTGCAAAACACCCCCCCACCACCACCACCACCTCGCCAGGCGCCCCGGCTCCTCCCGGACCGGACCGGCCGCTCGAGCCTCACCCCGCGGCGTCTTGGAACCGATCTTTGTCTCGGCGCCCAAGTCCCTTCACCTCGGCAAGGTCACTAACTCCCAACTCCCGGGTGCCGCCGAGCCTCGCCGGCCCGAGTTCGGGGGGGAGCAGAGGCACAAGTTGCCTGTCAACGGGCGCGATTGGGTCCCCGCGGCCCCACCCACCTCGCCGCCCGGCCCGGCGCCTCGCGTCTCCCCCCCCACCCCCCATTCGCCCATTGCACAGAAATAGCCGCCGCCCCCGGCGCGCCCCCACCCCCTCCCCCGCGCCCTCCCTCCCCCGCAGACCGCCCCGCGGCTCCCCCCACCCTCGCCTCCGCCCTCGCGGCCCCCGACCCGCCGTGCCGACCCGCCCCCCCACTTTCCCACGACCACCGCCCCCCGCCGCCCCGGTACCCCCCGGCTGCGCCCGCCCCCAGGCTCCTCCCAGCAGGACACCTGTGTCGTCCCACCACCACCCCCCCAGCTCACACGCCCCCCCACCCCCGCACCTCCCGGGGGCAGCGCGCGCGCCCCTCCCCCGCCGCAGCCCGGCAGGCCGCGGGCGAGGGGCGCGGGGAGCCGAGGCCGCCGAGAGGGGCCCCGGGGTCGGGGCGGCGCGCGCCCGCCCGCCTGCCCGCCTGCCTCCTCCGCGGCCCGGGCGGAAGTCGGGGCCTCCCGGGCGGCCCCCCCGCGACGCCGTTTTACCTTCTGGCCGCGGACCCGGGCCGGGCGGCTCCCACATGGGCCGAGCTCCGCCGGAGGACTGACCCCGCTCGGCCGCCGGCGGCGTCCACCCTCCGGCTCCGGGGCCGCCGCCTCCGCCCGCCTCCCCCAGCGCTCCCGCCGCGCCCCTCCCGGGCCCGCGCCGCGCGCCCCCGCCCGCCGCTCGCGCGCGCGCGCGCGCGCACGCACCCCGCCGCGGCCCCGCGCCGCGCGCCCCCGGCGCCCGCCCGCCCGTCCTCCCGCTTCCCTCCCTGCTTCCCTCCCTCCTTTCCCTCGGCTCCCGCTCGCCGCCCGGCGCGGCCATTGTTCCCGGCGCCGCTCCCGCCCCCTGGCGGCCAACCCGGCCCCCCGCCAACGCCGGCGCTGCGGTAGTGGCGGCGCCCGCGGGCCCCCGGGGACACCGTCTCCCACCCCCCCCCCCGCGCCCGGGGAGCCTGGCGGGTGGGGATGGGGCGGCCCGAGAGGGGCAAAGCGCACCCCAGCCCGGGCTCCCCGCCCCCTCGGATGCCCAGAACAAGCCCGGGGCTGCTCCTGCCACACCTGCCCTGGGCCGCTGCCACCCCGCGGGATGGACCCCTCGGCTCCGGGCAGAGGGGGATGCGCGCCCCGGGCCACCCCCTCCCCTGCCCGGCGCGTACCTTCCCCGGGCTCTCCGGCTGCACCCCCGTGCGCTGCTGGGGACCAAAGACCATCCCGCGGCGCGCTCGGGCGGCCGCCGCGCGCCGGCGATGCGCGCTTTAGCGGATCCTGCACCTTGGCCGACTGGGAGGGGGAGGGACGGGGCGGGGGAGGGGGCGAGTGCCACCGTCTCGCGGAGAAACCCCCCCTCCCCCCCAGTGATCAAGTGATCACCTGCTGGCCACGATCTGCGACGTGGCCACACAGCTTCCATCCAAACCCGAAAATAGAATCATAATTTAGTCGCCTGAAAAAAAAAAAAGATACCAAAAAAAAAAAAAAAAACCCTTGGATCCAAAAATGAGGATCGTCTTAGAACAGTGTCCTAGATCCCTAGATTGTGGAGGCAAGAGCCCAGAAAACTCGAATTACCTTCCTCATTCGGCCTGGTTTTGATGTGGGTTACTTGTGTCCAGATCACTTCAACCCAGTTTTTAAGACCCGTGAAAGTCAACGAACGCTTGGTTGAGTCAGTGGAACCACAAATAATTGGGCGATGAAGTCCAGCTCCATCTAGAACTGGAGTGTTTTCATACAGGTACCAGTCTACATTACCGTTCTCAATGATGTCATTAGGACCAGAAATGTCTACCTGGTCGATGAGCTCAATACTTGCCATAAAACTGTGAGTACGTACCCCTCAAGGATGAAGTACAAGGTGATGCTTAGAATCAGGTGTCCAGGCCTGGTGAGCCACGTGCTAAATGGGAGACCAGAGCAACAGTTACCGGAGGATAGTCTGGGTCTCTCTGGTTTGGGGGGAAATAATAAGGCCAAGATGTTGCCTAGTCACCATCCTGAAGCTGCCCAGAAGCTGGACTCCCTTGCTCAAGTGCCAATAAGGAGCCCTTTGGAAGTGAGAAAATGAGGCACCAGAGAAGGGTTAGACCTGCTTCAGGAAAAGAACAATCTCCAAGAAAAACAAAAGGCCCTGATAAGAATATGGGAGAGAATATCAAAAATCCAAAGCTTTTTCCCTGTGACAACACCCAGAATAGCCTTTATGTCTACAGAGAAGGCCAGCCCAGCAGAACGTTGGGAAGAACTCCAGGGAAACTCCCAGGTGGGCAGTTTGGGGAAAGCCCTACTATAAAACTAAGTTTATAGAGAAAAGGAACACTAATTCTCCCTCTTGAGGGTAACCTGACTCACAGCCTGAATTGTGTAATTTATCACTTATCTTTTTTTTCTGGGGTGGAGAGTGTTGGAGCCATACCCAGCAGTGCTCAGGCCTTACTCCTGCCTCTGTGCTCAGGGATTACTTCTGGCAAGGCTTCAGAGACCGTATGCCAGGGATCAAACCTGGGTCTTCTGGAAGCCAGGTCGGGCCACATTCAAAGCAAATGCCCTACCTGCTGTACTCTCACACCAGCCCCTAATTACTTTTAGGGTGCCTTCTCCAGCTTGAGGGTCACCCACACCTCAACATGATGAGCAACTCATCTCCTCATTACAAAATCACCTCCATGGGTGATAAAATCTAAAATCTCTGTGCCGGCCAAGCCTCTTGACTCTCTTCTGACACTGTAGGTGTATTTGAGCCCAGTGGCAGTGCATTGTTTGCGAGCAGCCTCATTCTTAGTCATCTTTGCATTCCCAATACCCAATTAGTGAGTGGATGCAAGGAAATGCTTTTGGAATAAAAGGATGAGTGTATGCTTTTGGAAATGACTCTCAAATGGTGATCTCGAATGTCATTTCCTTTTATCCCAATCCTTCAAAGTAACTTAAAGTTTTATCTTGAGTGTAACTGTTTTGCTTTCAGATGATTTTAGCCTGCTTTTTTTTTTTTTTGGGACCACACCCAGAAGTGCTCAAGGTCTATTCTTGGCTCTGTGCTTAGGGGTCACTCCTGGCAGGCTCAGACTATAAGGGATTGAATCCAGGTTGGCAAGCATGTGACCGACTGTATTAACTGTCTGGCATGTAAGCTAAATTCATTCTACAGAAAACTAATAGAATGAATTTTCTGTATCTAGTAGCTGCAGAGGCCACTCCCAGTAGAACTCAGGGTGTCTTGCAAGGGGTCAGAACCAGGCCCTCACATAACTAGGTATGTGGTTGGAGGGATAGGGTAAGGCGTTTGCCTTGCACGTGGCTGACAGGGTCAACCCGAGTTCAATTCCTCTTCCCCTCTAGAAGAACCTGGCAAGCTACCGAGAGTATCTCGCCTGCATGGCAAAGCCTGGCAAGCTCCCCGTGACGTATTCGATATGCCAAACACAGAAACAAGTCTCACAATATTACTGGGCCCGCTCGAGCAAATCAATGAACAACGGGAGGACAGTGATCTCTGTCTTCAGTCACAATCCACCTCCACATCGAACGAATTTTTTAAAACCGTAATTACCAGAGAGGGTTTTGCTTTGGGGGGGAGGAAGGAAAGGGGAGCACGGGACCACACCTGGTGGTGTTCAGGACTTGCTCCTGAATTCTGGGCTCAGATACCAAATGTGGTGCCAGGGATTGAACAGGGATTGGCCACATGCAAGCATCTTAAACCCTTCATTATCTCTGGCCCAGAGAGAATTTTGCTCTGAATCAGCACTTTCATTTACTAGAGTTAGAGAGTCACAGTACCTGAGTGGCATGGAAATAGATACAAACATCTGTGGTCTTATTTTACTATACATATTGGTATAGCAGCTAAAAATACCGATATTTAAAGAGGAATGGACCAGGACAAGAGAGAGAATTCAGGGACTGGAGTGATAGCACAGCAGGTGGGGCGTTTGTCTTGCACACTGCTGACCCGGGTTCAATCTCTAGCATCCCATATGTTCTCCTGAGCACCGCCAGGAGTAATTTCTGAATGTAGAGCCAGGAGTAACCCCCGTGCATCACCAGGTGTGACCCAAAGAGCGAGAGTGAGAGAGAGAGAGAGAGACAGAGACAGAGACAGAGACAGAGAGAGAGAGAGAGTCCAGTGGGTAAGGTGCTTGCCCTGCAAGCCAGCTTGAGTCTGATCCCCAGAGTACTGCAAAGAGTAAATTTTGAGCACCACTGGCTATTACCCAAAACAAACAAAAATCCAATAAAGAGGAATGTAGCTAATGGCCACACTTTAAATCTTTTCCAGGTACTGTTGCAGTCAAATATTCAAATGGCAGAAAATAAACACGTTATTCATTAGGTGAGGTCTGAGCAGAATCTAAAATCACAAGCCCCAATTTCCCTTACTGCTCTCTCTACTCTTCTTGTATCATCCTTAAAAATGTATAAGAAAATATTTATTTTCTTATAAATGTTAGCCCCTACAGTCCATGCAATAAGCCATCCTCCTTTACATTCTTACATCTGAACATACTTTTATCACTTCACAGCATTTGTTTCTTCCCAGATGCCTTTAGCTTCTTGAAGACAAAGAACAGTGACTTTATCATCTTGTTTCTCCTTTAGCACAGCACTTATGGTGATTCATAAATGGTGGATAAACTTTGGTAGTAGTAAAGTGCAGTGAATTTGCACAGAAAAGTCATAAAAGTTCTCAATACTATTGTAACCATTGGCTCAACTATAATACAGATATTTGAAATTTTAAATAAATTCTATTGGAGTTCTGTATTAATGAATTTAACAAACTTTTACTGAATACCTTCAATATGCCACGTACAATTAGTGACCTAGAAACATGTAGTAATGAAAAGAATTAGAAAAATCAGGGACTAGAGCATCGAACAGGGGAGGGCACTTGCCTTGCACATCCCTGACCCGGGTTTAATCTCCAGTACCCCATATGGTCCCTGAGTTCCACCAGGAATGTCCCTTGAGCTCAGAGCCAAGAGTAAGCCCTGACTCTGCCAGGTATGACCCAAAACAAAATAAAATCAAAAAATTGATTGCTGGGAACTCAGTATTTGTTTCTATTATGAAGTTGAACTGTGTTTCTAGATCCGAGGTAGAGATACTCACGCCCAGACCACCATATCAACAAACTAAAACTTGGATAATTTCCACCTCAGGTAAATGCCACAGTTGACCAGTTGGTCACTGTCACACCCAGTCCATCTTCAAATGCCAAAATCAACATACAGCTCACCCATTCTTTTGTCCTTTCTCACCAAAAAAAGGTTGACTCTGTGTTCCCAGCTAATATTTGCTTCTGTTTTTCACTTCCTTGTCCTTTACTCTACAAAAGCTTCCCACCTTCTGCCGCACTTCGCAGTTCTTTGAGTAGAGAATATCTTCTGTATGCCATGGTAATTAACATTTGCATACCTAAAATATCCTTCTTTAATCATTTAACAGTAATGATATGAAGATAACTATTAAGATTCCAGCGGCCTAAAACAATATACTACAAAAACCTGGACATAAATTACAGAGTATCTATATTCATTAGGAATAAGCAAATAGGGCTCTGGAGAGGGCCCAGGGTTTATAATGAAGGATTGATCCCTGATACCACAGGAGCCCCTGACAACAATAAAATAAAAGAATAAGCATCTAAAAAATGCATTTAATGAAAAAT